TGAGATCGAGTCATGAGTAGGGCTCCTTGCTCAGCAGGGAACCTGCTTTTCCTGCCTGCCACTCCCCCTTCTTGTGGCCTGTGCTCTCTCTCTCTCTCTCTGACAAGTAAATAAATAAAATCTTAAAAAAAAATAAATTTAAGAAAAGTGTAAGCTTAGTTCAGAAAATTTTATGTCCTATCAATTCTCAACATTGGAAAATATTTATTAGATTTGGGGTGGTTTGACGGGACTGAGGATCTGTATTGAGGTGATGTTTAAAAACTAACCATCCTATTACTTGCCTGACACCATGTTGAGCATTCATTCATTCATTCATTCATTCATTTTTAAGTAAGGTCTTTGCCCCATAATGTGGGGCTTGAACTCACAACCCCGAGATCAAGAGTTACATGCTCTATAGGCTGAGCCAGCCAGGGGCCCCACCATGTTGAGCATTTAAATATGATCTCATTGAATTCTTTCAGAATACTGTTACCTAGTTCTACTTTATAGATGAAGAAAAAGACTGAAAAGTTTAAACATTGGAGTACAGCTGTATAGGAACTAGGTTTCCTTTATTCTAAAATGCATGAAATAAATACCACCAGTGTATGTTCTTGAGAAAAGAGCATATATGGAAGGAAAAACCTTTTCCCGCTACCTCCCAGTTTCACTCACTGAGCCCTTGAGCAAACTGATAAAAGAGATTAATGAGAGAGAGAGGGAGAGAGAGAGAAAAACAGTTGTAATTATGTAGATTTGCATGGGAATCTCTCAAGAAAATGAGACTGAAGGAGCCAGATGATTGAGGTTTATACCATCTTAGGCTAAACAATGGAAAGGGGTTTGAGGCTTCTGGAGATGGGAGGCAAGTTATGGGGAAAAGGGAAGAAAATGTATAGTAAGGAAGGGTTTTTTTCTCAAGGGGTAAGAGTTGTCTCCAGGACTAGTTCTGTTCCTGTTAAGGAGTAACTTTTACAACTGGAAATTTCCTTTATACATGTAACTTTTCTTTACAAAAGAAGAAATTTATACTCTATTTTGAGGCAGTGAGGGGAGGTAAAGAACTTTTTCCTATGTCCACTGGTTCTCAAGGCCCTTTAGGTCAAAATAATCCAGGGTGCCTGAGTGGCTCAGTTGGTTAAGCATCTGACTCTTGGTTTTATTTTATTTTATATATTTTTTAAGATTTATTTACTTATTTGACAGAGAGAGACACAGCGAGAGAGGGAACACAAGCAGGGGGAGTGGGAGAGGGAGAAGCAGGCTTCCCGTCGATCAGGGAGCCTGCTGTGGGGCTTGATCCCAGGACCCTGAGATCATGACCTGAACTGAAGGCAGACACTTAACGACTGAGCCACCCAGGCACCCCTGACTCTTGATTTTAGCTCAGGTCATGATCTCAGGGTCAGGAGATCCAATCCTGCGTGGGGCTCCATGCTGGGCATGGAGCCTGCTTAAGATTCTCTTTCTCCCTCTCTCTCTCTAAAAGAAATAAAATCCATATGCCAATGAGACGTATTTTGGGGTGGTATATTTTGGTACTCTTTAAGCACCTCTACCTAATTCTTGAAACTGCAATCACAAAAATTCATTCTGGTTGCTGAACATGGAATTTCCTCCTCATAGTAGCTTCTAGGATTACAGTTTTGAGTTCCAATCCTTTTCTTAATTTGTGGATATTTATGGTTTTGATTAAATTATTTGTTCCCCTACTGCTATACTTTTCATTGAGAAGTACCAGGTCTGTGTAATTATTAAATGTGTAACATTTTACATACCCAGGGCTCCATGCTTTATAAGACAGTGCCAACATTCAGAATTTTGAATAACCACTTCATAATTTTTTTCAAATTTTCACAGGTATCTTCCCTTGAAAAACAGAACAACATAATCACCTTAATAACTTGCCCATAACAAGTTTAAACTTCAACATTGTTTTCTTCCTCTTATTTAATTTCTATGTAGAGCCCTCAAACTGAATGATAAAGGATAACATTTATAACCTTCTGTGGCTGCTCTCTCCTTGAGGTTTGCTTTAGAAATAGAATGGCAGAAATATAGAAAGCTAATAGGGTTGTAAATATTGTTTTCTCTTAAGTCATCTAAGTTGTTTTAAAAACGTGCTGGTTAATTTTTACAGCACTGTCTCAGAATGCACATGGAGGATACAGTCACTCTCATAGAGTTTCTTTCCAATATTCCAAAAATATTGGTAATTTTATAATTAGTGTTCCTTACACCATTCAGTAAGGGTATTTTGGCTAATGCTACCAGTGTTAGTTTTTGGGTGTGTGTGTGTGTGTGTGTGTTAAACTAATGCATTCACTATATATATTTTTTCTCTTTATTTATCTTTGATTTCTTTTTTTGAAAATTCTCATAAATGTCCTCATCTCTCTTATCCTTCTAGCTCTTAATTATTTACTCTTGCAGATAAACCTAACTAGTCATCCCCACTTCTTTTCACTTTTGAAATTTACTTGGCATTTTTCCCCTCCTGGAATATCTTTCATCATCATCTTTGCTAATCTATGTCCGTCTTTTCTTTGAGATCCTTTAATTCACCCTTTGTGATGATGGTAATTTTATTCATCTTTATTAAAACTGTTGAAGCCATAATATGTGGCAGGAACTGTGCTACCTTGCCATTTTCAGGGATATAGTGGTGGGCACAGAAGAGGTCTCTCACACAACAGCTCACAAGGACAGAAATAAGCGGTACATACCACACAGTGTGATAAGAGCCATGGTGAAAGGAAAAGTTCCAAGTTGTTAAGAGGCATCTGGAGCATATAGAGGCAGCCTCAACCACGATTAGGTTCAAGAAGAATTCCTGCATATGAATTAGACAAAGAGAAAGTAATGAAGGAAGAATTTCCTAGGCATATGAGGTGCACAAGAGAGAGAGTGAATAACTGAGTGCATGGAAATTTATAAGCGTTGAAGCTATTTCAGTATAACTGAATGTATATTTATGTGACTTTCTGGGCAATGACAAGCCCTTTTGGGGTTTCTGGTATTTTTATGTTTTTCCTCTGCTCAAAAATAGGACTTCTCTATTCTACTTTCTTTGTAACTTCACACATTCCATAATTCAGCTGGTAGATAATGGGTGTCTTAGATTGGTTATTGACTAATTTTAGGTGCCTGGGACCGGTATGTAAATACATTTCCAAGCTGTCATAATGAGGGAGGATTGATATGTGTGTTTCTCCTGTTAGGGAGGAAGTCCGAACGTGATGATTATAGTGTTTTATTGGCAAACATTCAATTTCAGGTTCCATTTGATAAAGTATGTAGCACAGTATGTATGTTACATTATGCAACTGTACCAGGCAAAGACTATTGTGGAACAAACCACAACTTGGATTTTAAATCAGAGGTTTTGGTATTTGTAATGAGAGAATGGGGCTGAGTAAATGTTCCAGATCAATTTATAGATGAAGAAACTGAGACCCAGAGACGTAATAAAGAGAGAACTGTAAATTAACTGTGATGAGGATTTTTTAAAAAAGATTTATTTAAGAGAGAGAGAGCGCGAGTGCGTGCACGCAGTGGGCAGGGGCAGAGGGAGAGGGAGAGAGAAACTCAAGCAGAATCCGAGCCGAGTGCAGAGCCTGATTCAGGGCTTGATCTCACGACCCTGAGATCATGACCTGAGCCGAAACCAAGAGTTGGTCACTTAACTGTGCCATCCAGGTGCCCCAGTGATGGGAATTTTTTTATGTCCCATTTGTTTTCATTTCTAATATTTTTGAGAATAACTATTCTAGTTGTTTACCTTTTCTGTTTATGTAACATATAATCAATTTTTTTCATTAATGAGCTAGCAAACATGGTATACAGATTCCTTCCAAATTGAAAATTAAAGAACCATTAAAGGAGAAGGTGTTTAAACCTCGGGTTTTTTTTTTTTTTAACCAGTTTTAACCAGAACAAAGCTAAAATTTAAGGAATTCTAGAGGGAGAAAATAGAGATTGTTTTTTATTCTGAATATCTTATGGGAGACAGAGTTTAAATAAATTGATTTATTTTTGTGATCTACTTCCTCTCTCACTTTTACAAATGAGTAAAGATAAATCTCCAATTTGTTGCTTTTCTTTGCTAGAGATTATTTTTGTTTGAAGCACAATAGTTTATATTAATACTCGTTATGTTCCTAGTACAAAGGCAATGCAAATATCAGTATCCTTTTACAAATGAGGACCTTGAGGCATTCTGAAATCGGATTGGATCATTTGTCTAAGATCTCTTGATTAATAAGTCGGACAAGTGACGTAAGGACATAGTGACATTAGTGCTCTTCTTGGGCATTCTTTGCACTTGTCAGAGGGAGGAAGGGCAAGAGGAGGGAAAGAAGAAAGAAGATGAATGGAAAAAGAAGAGGAGGGGTGGAGGAAAAATGCTGCCAATGTTGTATTTATCATCTGCCATTCATAATGTTTAGCACATACGTGATTGCTTTAAATCTTCATAAAAACCTTCTGAAATATAGATATCATCCCCATTTTATAGTTGAGGAAACTGAGACTCGGAGAAGGAATAGCCCTCACTTACAGTTCCACAGCTAGTACTGGAGGGACGCCAAAGACTCTTTCCAGCACTTCACAAAACTGATTCCCATGGTGTTCCTTAGGTCTCTGTATTTTTTTTATTTAATGAACATTGCAAAATTCACTTTAAATTTTTATTTCTATAAGAGAAGCAGATTGGGAACACTAAAAATCAAATAAAACTCTGGCTCTGCACCATGGTGTGTTGGTAGTATTGACACTCGGGGAAAATGTAAATACGTTTTAGACTAAAGTGAAAGTAGAGAATTAAAAGTTAATATCAAAACTGAAACAAAGCCACATTTTGTGAAACACACATTAATAGCAGTACGTTGGATCAAAGGATGTGATCTCATTCCACAGCAAAACAGGTCCTGCCAGCCCAGGTAATTCAGGAAGCAGAATGGTAATGATTCACAGAAGAGAGCAGGTAGTATACTGTTACAGTACCACGGTAGGAAGTCAGAAGGTCACAAAGCTTGCAAGGTAACTGACACAATTTGAAACTGCTTGGCCCCCTTTAAAAAGAAATAATAAAATGGGAGAGAATGAAGCAAGTTTACCTAACACATCTTTGCAAGGTAAGTACCAACAGTCTCTGAAGTGTTTCCAATCAGAAATTTAAGCAGTTTCTATTACAGAGTGTGTGTGTTTGGGGGGGGTGTGGAGCGCATGAGCGCTTGCAGGTGCGCCTGCATGTGCCCCTACCGAGGTTTAAGGTGTGCTTTGAGGTTGAGGAAAGGATGTGGGGGTTTTTCTCATTTCAAAAGAAACTGGCTGTCTCTCGGGCTTAAGAACTCAACCAACACAGAAACCCAAATCTGGTGGAGAGTGGGGAAAGCCTAATCTTTATTCTCCAATGTAATGCTGGAGAAATGGTGTGACCAACTTGTAGTGCAGATCTTTTCCAACATTGACAGAATCCTGGTTTTTGTCTCTACTTACGGAATCTTTATTTGGCATTAAGTTTTGCCATATCTGGGGTTTACCAGCTAAGTGTCCTTGTATTAATATATTAATACAATCATTTTTTTTTAAAGGTAGAAAACAGGATCTCAGAGGAGAGCAAAGCAGTTGGGGAGGGGGTTTATTTTACAGGTCTTACTTAATCAGTCAGATACCTTTGTCCTTTGAAGGGATTGGCTTTGTTGACATTGGCTTGACTAGGCTTCTACGGGTAGGCTTGTTGATAGAAACAATAAAGGTTGCTCACACATTTCACTTTTTTGAGTGAGAAAACTTCCTTCTTAAAAAAAATACAAAACTGACATAATGCTTATTTGTTGCTATGATTTCTAGTAGTCTGATATCTTATGAATTATTTGTCACCTTGCAAGAGACATTTTGATCAAGATATTTTTTAATCGACTGCTAATGACATTTTCATTTAATTATGTTCTTGTGATGCTACCACCAAGAAAATCTCCAGACCACCCAGTTTTCTATTTAGTGCATATAATCGAACATGTAACTACATCTGTGAAACATAATATACATGAGAATAACATTAAGATGATCATAGACATGACAGGTCATAAAGTGTCCATTTTCTAAAGTTAAATTATCTTCCAGAATTCACTAAACCTGCTTAAGAATCCCAGAATCTTGTTTTATTTCTGTATGTTTCCCAAAAACGTTTTGTTAAATACTGCATAAAATGCTATTATCAGGGCGCCTGGGTGGCTCAGTGGGTTAAGCATCTGCCTTTGGCTCAGGTCATGATCTCAGGGTCCTGGGATCGAGCCCCACATAAGACTCCCTACTCAGTGAGGAGCCTGCTTCTCCCTCTCCCTCTGCTCATCCCCTCCTGCTCGTGCTCACCCTTTCTCTCTCTCTCACTCTCAAATAAATAAATAAAATCTTAAAAAAAATAAGTAAAATGCTATTATCAAGCACTTTTAAAGATTAGTAAAAAGTCATTTAGCGCATTCTATTGAGGAAAAACAAGCTAAAAGACTTATTTAGCTTATGAAATTCATTTATTTGTGTTTTATGGAGAAAATAATATGTATATGATTATAACATATACTTTATTTGTTTCTATAATGTCTTTCCTTGGAAAAGTATATAGGAATTATTTAGGTTGTTAATATTGTTCATATAACAGTGACTTTGTATAAAATATATATAATTATTTGGCAACCACCTGAATAGCCTGTTGTAGACTATGGGGGCACATCACCAGTGTCTGTGTTCAGAGGTTTTAATAAATTGAGGAATAACCAGGCCTCGTCTCTCTTTGTGTCAGGATCATGGGTAATATTTACTTCTTATTTTAGAGTCCTAGAATGTGTATAGACTCTATTTTGTTTTGTTTTTCCCTTTTCTCTGGCAGTTTTATGTATGTTATGTTTCTGGTAATATATTCCACTGTAAAAGGGTGACTACATATATACATGCATATACACACACATACACTTACTTTCAGAATTAATAATTAGTATATAGAAGAAAAAAAGCATGAAGTTTTAAACAAGAGCTATAGTGAATAATTTGAATGTTATGGTTTGAGTTAGAAAATCATGTGCTATATCCATAAACCTTCTGTAACTGAGGGATGCTTGTGAGCTCAGCTCTATCTCAAGGGGTTTTCCCTTGTGAGTTCTGTGAAAACTTTTCAATGAGGACTGTATTTTTCTACCTGAGTTGAAATGTACCCTTGGTGGGTCTACAAATAGTTCAGATCCATCTTCTTGGAATATTGCAGTGCTTCCATTCCAGTTGTATTTGCCTTAAAATTATTAAGTGAAGTTAGTAATCAGGAGAGAGCTAATGATAAGTGAGGGTACTTCAGTTGTTGGCTTTAAACTATTCCTGGATTTTTTTTTTTTAATAATAAAGGAAAGTACCGTGGGGATAATTTGCAGCTTTATGTGTGTGGAGGTAAGATATATGGTAAATTTAACATCTTAGAAAACAAATCAGAATATCTTCTGGAATCATTTATGGAATGCTCTAACATTATTTTGTTTTCTGTGCAATACCCTGTCCTAAATCTCAGATTGAGTTTAAAAATCATTGAAATAAATGAAAAAGGTATTTTGAAATGTTTAATTTTGCTTTTGACTTAGCAGTATTTATAAAAAGATTCTGAAGTTCTCTAAAATAATACTAATTATTATCAACTCACCTTACAAATAAGCATGCTCTAACAGATATGACTGTATTAAATACTTTGTTTTATACATTAAACATATGGATGACTTAAATTTTTTGGTTATGAAGATAATCAGTGATAGCAGATTATCATTAGAACTCTATCATGTGCTTTGAATAGTGGTTTTCTAACGCCATGTGTCTAGATTGTGACCATGTCTGGTCACAGCTTGGAGGGCTAGCCGTAGACATTGTCAAAAGAGTGCTATTTCCTGTAGGTTTTATACCCAGGAAGCCAGTTAAGAGTACCCTGGTTAGTGGAGCCTATAAGCTATCAGCAACTATGGTGTTGGGAACCTATTTTTTCCCAAATGAAAGTGAAGTTGTTCCAAGGTTATCTTCAGCTACATGGGAACAGATCTCAATTATCTTTTCAAACATAAAAAGCAATCTCTTCCTTTCAGTCCTAGTGAAAAGTAACTCTACAGAGAATAATGTAAAGATTTATATGAGAGGGCTCATAGTATTCTCAGGATTCATAAAATAGAATTATCTAGGACAGGATAAAATGCTGGATTTCTTTTTTCTTATTTTTGAAAATATAAATAATATAGCAATAGGAATGGGGGCAAATGCTTTCTGAGCATTGTATTTGCTAAGAAAAGGAAGTGGCATTTCCTTGCATAATCCCTGCAAACTCACATGTACCACTGAGTAGCACCTGGTCAGTCTGTGATAGCAGTGAAAGGCCGGGACTGAAACAACAGGAGGATGGCAACTTCCTTCCAGGCAAGCAGCATCCTGGAAAATTCCTTAGGTTAAGATTTTTCCAGAGGCTACCCTTGGGCGTAAAAGGGCCCCTTACCTGTATTGCCTGTCAGGAAGGACATGCATTTTCTATTCCAAGATTCTTAGTAACAGGCAGAGTAGACCCTAGCAGGGATTGTAAGAAAGGGAAAGAAGGTGTCACTATCCAGTTATGTCCCTCATCCACTGAGCTCCTCCTACCTCAGCAACTCAGTCCACATGAGCCTTTTCCATTTTATTTTCCTCCTCTTCTTCCTTGGTCAAAGCATTTCCAAAGCCACCTGCCTCTTTGGAAAGGGTATGGTATACAAATTCATCTTGGGAATGATTTCAGTAAAAGGTGTCTCTGAGTTCAATGCTGAGACAACCTTGAGAGTGGTTTCTTTGAGTGGGGGTCTCCTGTGGACTGCTCAACACACCTTTGTCACTCAGGCCATCTACTTACAGCTGCTCAGGTGTTTTTGAGTATCTTCTAATTATAGCTCCCCTTCCTACTCCAGTTCTTAGTTTTCTAGATCTAGGAAACCCCTTCTCTACAGGCTACAAAAGACTAGAGCTCAGGGGGAAAAATGTCTCAAAGTACAGAAGAGTTGGCTAGACCCTGTGGTATCCAAGGCCAGTTCTAGAGAGCAGTCAGCAGAGAAGAGAGGACTTTTCAACAGCCCACTGAAGGAGAATTTGGCTGTCAAAGTTAGGGGAGAAAAACTCTATAGAATCTTAACATTTTCAAGGTATGAGGGAGCTTAAAAAGCTTCAAGTCTGATATTTTTACTTTGTAGAGTAGCAAATAGATCCTATGAAGGTAAGAAAATTACCCTTGGTTTCTCAGAAGCAGGTGCCAGAACTCAGATCTCCACCCTAGCTGCCCAGAGCCTGTAATTTCATAAAGGAATTTGGCACATTACATTCTGGAGGCATTTACTTTCCTCTTTCAAAAGGGAAAACCAGGCTTATGAATGCTTTCAATATTGACATCTTTTAGTTTCTATAGTTATGGCCTGGAAAGGATTGTCCAGTATTCAGTCAGGCTATTATGGGACTGGTCCATCCAGGCTTGGGATTTTTCTTGACTCCATAAAAGTTACATTGGCTTTTAAGACATTTACTTGACTTTCATCATAGCCAAGAGGAGTCAGCTTGAAAGTCCAGACACACATGCATTGAATGCATCATGTTTCTCATGATAAAGCCTTTTTTTTTTTTTTTTTTAAGAAATTATACTTATTCTGCTGGGCTATGAAAAGAAGAAAAAAATCTAGGCAGGAAGGTGCCTTAGTGTCTGTGCTTCTAAATTGCGGCCCCAGGGCAGCAGTACTGTATATACCCCAACCTGTCATACTGGTTTGGTGTGCATGTTTACTTTCTGTGGTGGAAAAAGTATCTCTGCATTCATCATCGTAAACCATGCCTGTGAGTGCCTTGAAATCTTTCTAAAGCCCCAAAGAGGACTAACCAGTTTCTGACTCTTCCTTCCCAGCCTATAGAACTTTAACAGCATTTTTAAGTAGGAGAAATGCAAGAAGCTCTTGTTGAACGTATCCATGTACCAGGAGGAAGGCTTCCACTGGCTCCAATTGATAGGTTGGAAAACTTGAAGACCTGAGACATTTTGGAGTTGAGATTTACATATTAAGGGTTTTGGAGTTGGAACTTCCAGAAGTTCTGCTGAAGAGACCTT